TCACCCTTCTGCCTCAGGTGGTCCTCCTTCGCGACCTCCTGTCATGCAACTTCGAAGCTCACCGGAACCTCGTGAATTACCAGAAGAGCAAAGTGTGGTACCTGCGCGCCAACTCATACCTCGGCAGCGCTTGCAAGAAAGGCAAAAAACACGTTGCAGATTCAGATTGCTCCAGTCCGCGATTCGTGAGTGAGATGTGTCGATCGGCGAGCGTGCATCTGATTAAGGTGAGTGAGGGGGGGGAGGGGGTGATGTGATGGTTTAATGTGATGGAAGTTGATTTAGGTGAGTATGTGTGGAGGGTGATGGCGGTTTAATGTGATAGAATGTGATGGAGATGACGTTTTTTGATGATTATAGCGGTGGCCATTCATAATGATAATAGTAATACATTTTTTTACTAGTTTTGATGGTAGTATTTCGTATGGAATGATGCTATTCATCTACTGATTCACAATGATAATCCTTTGCATAAATAATAACGACAGTTACATCAAACATCCATCATAACCTGATTCAATAAATTAACAGAAAAGCCAAGCGCGAAGACGTAAAAATGTATAGTATTAACAACAGCAAGTGTGAGTACACGCAGGTGCACTGAAGGGTGCTAAGGCATGTTGGCTGAAAGGAGGCTCGTGTTTAAGGCTTTATTTTATTCATATGCAGTGACATGTTGAATTAGTAGAGGAGGAGCTGGTTCGTCCTTGAATTGTCTTTCAATCTTTCAGGACTCAAGAAATTTGTAAGCAATGCCACTTTATTCAGCATATACATGTATGTATGTATATATACACACACTCACACACTCACACTCACACTCACACTCACACGCGCACACACACACACACACACACACACACACACACACACACACACACACACACACACACACACACACACACACACGCACGCACACGCACACACATATGTAAGAGTCAGTGAAGGACCTCTAAACATTGGTGACAGGATAGTAAAAGCTTGAGTGGCTTAAACCCTTTATTCTATAAGAGTTCAGTACACGGTTATGATAACACGACGATGACAAGACTTAGGCTAAGGCGGGTCACCTGGGGTCACAGGTGACCACCACCTCAGCGGGCAGACCGGCCCAGCGGGCAGTTGTGACCTTGACCGCGCCGGAGCACACTCTGACTGACAGGGGTCAACCTTGGAGAATAAGTAGCGGCGACCCCCGGAAGCAGGGGCGGAGCCACCAGCTGGAGTATGGCGTCGTGGCTATGCAGGCGCGGCCAACGAAACTGCCACGCAGCATGTATACAGTATATTGTATAATATGTATGTATGTATATATATATATATATATATATATATATATATGCATATATACACACACACACACACACACATATATATATATATATATATATCATCATCATCAAGTATGGTTGGGTCGAAATCGATCCGCCGTGGCCCCCTTCCCTTGCCTCCTCTAACCACTCCGATCTTTTGTCAGCTGACTCGCCTCTTGCATACTGCCACACACCTTCACAATTTCATCACTGTACCGGGTTTTCGGCCGGCCTCATCCTCGCGGTCCATAGACCGTGCTCAGCAGTAGGGTTCTGTCCAGATTTTCTTCATCTCTTATGATGTGTCCTACTAAGCTTAGTTTCCTCTGAAGGATGCTGTTGAGCAACCGTGTTTCAGGTTGGAATTTGGTGAGCACGTCCTCATTGGTGGTCTTAGAAGTCCAAGATATTCTAAGTACTCTTCTGAAGCACCACAGCTCGAAAGATTCAATGAGCCTTCTGTCTGTCTCCTTCAGTGTCCAGCATTCCGCTCCGTATGTTGCGATAGAGAAAACTAGCGTGGAGAGCAATCTCTTCTTTGTGAATAGAGATATTCCTTTGTCCTTCCACATTTTTGTTAGCGACACTGTTGCAGATTTTGCAATTGCGATTCTTCTTTTAATTTCCGGGGTATCATTGCAATTGTTGGTGAAAACAGCTCCCAGATAGGTGAAATGATTGACGTTCTCAATTTTCTTGTTGTTTACCCAGATATGTTGGTCATCTTCGTCCTCAGCGGAATGTCTCAGAATTTTCATAACTTTCGTCTTCTTGGCATTCAAATAGAGACCAACCTTTTCACTTTCAGTTCAGACCTTGTCTACAAGTTCTTGAAGTTTTGACAGGGAATTGGTTATCAAAACCATGTCATCAGCGTATCGGAGATTAGTCATCGTTCTGCCTCCAATGGTAACCTTCCACTGCATTTCTCATGACATTTTCAGAGTACAGATTGAAGAGGTGCGGGGTAAGGATGCATCCTTGACGGACTCCTTGGTCAATTTCAAACCAGTCCGTTAGGCCATAGGTTGTACGCACTGCGGCTTTTTGCTCATCATACATTGCTTTGAGTAGCAGGATAATGTGTTCAGGAAAACCCATGTTTCTCATGTTGTGCCACAGTTCTTCATGTATGACCATGTCAAAAGCTTTGGTGTAGTCAATGAAACATAGGTACAAGTCTTTGGAGTGCTCTCTGTTTTTTTCAATGATCATTTTAAGATTTAGGATTTGATTTCTTGTACCAGTGCCCCTCTTGAAACCGGCTTGTTCTTCTGCGATTTCAGCTTTCAGTTTCATCTGCATTCGATCAGCAATGATTTTCATCAGGATTTTACTGCTGTGGCTAATTAGTGCAATGGTTCTGTTGTTGCTGCATTGCTGGGTATCGCCTTTCTTGGGGATAGGAACGAAGACTGATTTAATCCAATCATCAGGCCATTTCTTTTCACACCAGACTTTCACAATAAGTTTGTAATCAAAGATTTCCGCATTTTCTCCAGCACTTTTGATTAGTTCAGCAGTGATGTCATCAACTCAGTCTTCTTTGATCTTGAAAAGGCTTATGATACGACTTGGAAGCATGGCATACTCATGAAGCTGTATGACATTGGTTTAAGAGGAGCACTGCCAACCTTCATACAAAGCTTCCTTGCTAACAGGAAGTTTAGAGTGAGGGTAGGAAACAGCTTCTCTAACCTGGAAGATCAGCTGGAAGGGGTCCCACAGGGAAGTGTCTTAAGTGTGACCCTGTTTGCCATTGCTATAAATGACATCGTAAAGGTCGTTCCAAGTGCTGTCTCATGTAGTCTGTATGTGGATGACTTTACACTATACTGCTCAGGAGGAAGCTTACAGGATGTGCAAGGACACATGCAGACTACAATAAATCAGGTTGTGCAATGGGCAACATACCATGGCTTCAAATTTTCTCCAAGCAAGACCATGGCTATGCATTTCCACAAACGAGGAAAGTTTCACCCTTCCCTCTATTTAGGAGCAAACCCACTACATTTTGCCCAACAGATAAAGTACTTGGGTCTAATCTTTGACTCAAAGCTTACATGGGTGCCTCATATTAAACAGTTAAAGGTGAAAGCTACAAAAGCGCTTAGTATTTTGCGGGTTCTTTCACACCTATCTTGGGGTGCAGACCGCACAACGCTTCTGCGACTTTACCGAGCACTTATTCGTAGTAAACTCGACTATGGATGTGAGGCATATTCATCTGCAACTCCCACTGTTCTTCGGATGTTGAACTCGGTTCATAATGAAGCTCTGAGAATCTGTATAGGGGCTTTCAGGTCTTCACCTGTGGAGTCCCTGTATGCTGAGAGTGGAGAACCACCTCTTTCATTACACCGGGACTACATGAACCTGATTTATTACACGAGACTACAAAGGATTCCGGGATCTCCTACATCCAGATTGGTTTTCAACCCCCTTGAGGATAGCCGATCCTATGGTAGGAGAATGAGGAATCTTGTGGAAGATCTTAATTTAAATCTCACAAAGGTTCTGGCTGTTGGAACTTCCCAAGTCCCCCCTTGGACTAATCAAGTCGAGCTTGATTTGGTCGGAATTGGGAAAGGGGAGAGATCCGAAGCAGAAGTCAGAGAGATATTTCTTCAACACACTTCTAAGTACCAGGGATCATATGCAATATATACAGATGGTTCGAAATCTGAAAATGGTGTGGGCTTTGCAGCAGTGAGCAGAAGGAAGACTGCATCTGGCAGTCTTTCTCGATCAGCCTCGATTTTCACTGCAGAGTTACATGCCATCCTTGCAGCAGTCAAGATGACTAGAGATCTTACAAACCATTCTGTTGTAATATATTGTGACTCTCGTAGTGCCTTGCAAGCAATCAAGAGCTTAAACTCATCACATCCAGTGGTGAGGGAAGTTCAAGATTGGCTTGCACTGATGTCAGCACGTAAAAAGATAACTCTGTGTTGGGTGCCAGCACATGTTGGTATCAGTGGGAATGAGCGAGCTGATCAGAAGGCCAAGGCAGCTGCCGCTCAGCCTTGTGATGCTCGTTTTCCTCTCCCACACACTGACTTGAAACCCAGCATCAGAAGTTGTCTTCGTGATAAATGGAGGGAACAATGGAGGCATACCTCTAGAAATAAGCTACGAGAGATTAGAGATGACCTTGGCAGTTGGGTGACCAGCATCCATCGTAACCGACAAGTGGAAGTTGTATTAACAAGGCTGAGAATTGGGCACACAAGACTGACTCATGGGCCGATGATGGCTAAGAGTGAAGCACGCTGTGAGGGATGCCAAGAGCCATTGACGGTCGCGCATATAGTGGAGAGATGTGCAACATTCTTAGACCAAAGACGAAGGAACTTGTCTCCCCCATATACATTGAAAAATGTTTTGGGGGAGGATTGTGACATAGAAGGTCTTATTAGTTTCCTTAGGGAAACTAATATTTTCAATAAAATTTAATTATGCATAATGTTTATGCAATAGTTTTTTTTTTTTTTTTTTTTTTTTTTTTTTTTTTTTTTTTTTTTTTTTTTTTTTTTTTTTAGAGCATAATATTTATGCTTTGGTTTTTAATATAATATTTATTGTTATTTATGACATTTATTGATAAATTTTTAACGTTTTAAATATTTTAATGTT